TAATTTTCTATATAATAATAATAAATTATTATTTAAGGGTAATAAATCTATCCCTTTTAGGGATAAAATAAATATTAGCTATATTAATCCCTTTATTTTATTAATAGATTTTATATTAATAGGTTTTATAAGTAAAATAAGGCTTATTATTAGGTCCTTATAATTATATAAGAAAATAATTATTCTCTTATTTACTTTAAATATATATATTATAATAATAGTCCTTATAAGAAATCTATAAGATTTCTTTATATTAGGGGTATATTAATTAAATATATTTATTATCCCTTATATTATAGTATAGTCCTTATTATAAATTTATAGCTATCTCTTTATAATATATTTAAATAGAGATATTTTTTATATCTAAGTCACTTTCCTCCTCTTATTTTATTAACCTAGAAGTTCTTAATTCCCCTTAAGTAATTTTAAGTATTTATTTTTATTATTTCTTAATTTTATACTTATTTTATTTATATTTATATATTACTTTATATAGGTCTTTATTATATTATACTCCTATAATACTAATAGAGTTATATTAATAAGAAACTTAATATCTCTTTATTTTATATTATAAGTATAATTTATTATTACGCTAATATAATAAGGGAATTAAAAAATAATCTTATTTTTTTTTTTTATACTCTTTATATTAATAATATTAATATAATATCTATAAAATACTAAGGTATTTTTTATATATTAGGTAGGTTTATATATTATTTTATTTATTAAATAATATTTCTAGATATTATAAGTCCTTAATTATTATTTAATAATATATATAAATATATATATCTTATATATTAATAATATTTAACGTACATGATAAGTGAGTGGATCAAACAAGTGAGTGGATCAAAAATCCCTCATCCTCTACCCTCTCTACTTAATCAATTGATTCTTCACCACCAAGCATATCACAGACAAATTATGAGGCAAGAATCCTTCTAGCACTTCATGCCTATTAAAATAACCCCAATCTAGGTCTTAAACGCGCTGCAAAGACCTATAAAGTTAGTTATAGTATACTATAGCGCCGATACAATGGCATTCAGTCTCAGCGCGATACCACCCCCAAATCACGCAAATTATCCGATCTAGAGGAATAGATCTTAGTTCAGTTCATCCTAGACCTGGACTCGCGAGGGTTTCCCCCACGACTGCGTGGTATGGAAGAAATAGCTAACCGACTGCTCGCCGACCGGAATGCACCACCCATCGGCAAGCGCTAGGCTTCCAACTTCATCAAGCGACACGATAAGCTTAAGACGCGCTTTTTTCATAGATACGACTACCAGAGGGCCAAATACAAAGATCCAACCGAGATTCGAAAGTAGTTCAAGCTCATGGAGAACACAATCGCCAAATACAGTATCGACCTAGCCGATATCTACAACTTCGATGAGGTTGGCTTTATGATAGGCGTCATTATAAACGGAATAGTCGTCACAGGCACAGAAAGGCGTGCAAGACCGAAATTAGTGCAGCCTAGAAGCCGGGAATGGATTACTATCATCCAGGCCATCAATGCGGAAGGCTAGGCGATCCCGCCGTTCATCATAGGTGCAGGCCAGTATCACCTCGCCAACTAGTACCGAGACAGCAACCTCCCGGACGATTAGGCCATTGCAACGTCTCCCAATAGCTAGACCGATAATGAGCTAGGTCTAGAGTAGCTAAAGCACTTTAACCGGTACACTAAGACGCGATCGGTTAGCCGCTATCGTCTTTTGATCCTCGACGGCCACGAAAGTCACCACTCTCTCGAGTTTAAGAAATATTACCAGGCAAACAAGATTATTACGCTCTTTATGCCGCCTCATTCGTCTCATCTGCTTCAGCCCCTCGACGTCGGGTACTTTAGCCTACTTAAGAGGGCATATAGTCAAGAAATCGAGCATCTAATGCGATGCTCTATAACCCACGTTTCCAAGACCGAGTTCTTTCCAGCATTTTATGCAGCATTTCAGGCCACCATAATAGAGAAAAACATCAAGGCAGCTTTTAGAGGGGCTAGCATTATTCCTCTTAATCCGGAAAGTGTGATTTCGAAGCTTAATATGCAGCTACGGACGCCGACGCCGGCTAAGGAAGAGGCCGGGCTCTCTACTACTTAGGTTTCAAAGACGCCAAAGACGGTCCTTAAGGCCGAATCTCAATCTAAATACCTCGATAGACAAATCAAAAGGCATCATAGTAGCTCGCCAGAGTCAATACTGGAAGCATTAAAGTCGCTTTCTAAGGGAACAAAGGCAACTATACATAAGCTTGCCTTATTGAGGGCCGAGGTCCGCGATCTTCAGCAGGCAAATAAGACACTAAGCCGGCGGCGGAGGGCAAAACAGAGGCGACTATAGAAAGGAGGAGTGATAACAGTGGGGGAAGTAAGGGAAGCAATTAATCAGATGAATATGGATGGGCAGGCAGAGGGGGAATCGTCGAGACGTAGTAGTCAAGGAGGGTCGGGGCGACCGAGGGAAAGGCGCTATGGAGGATGCGGCAAGACGGGTCATAATGCAAGAACATGTCAGATAGTTATTATAATATCTGAAGAAGAGTATAGCGACTAGTTTTAATTAATTAGATGATTTATTATGTTTTTATAGAATTTTCAATTGAGAAGGGTGAGGATTTTTAATCCACTCACTTGTTTGATCCACTCACTTATCATATACGTTATATATTCCCTTGCGGTTTAAATATATTATTTTTATAATATATTTTAATATTAGTTTCCTTATTTATTATAGAGTTATAAATAATATTTTTCTTTCTATAAATTATTACCTATCTTAGGGTTTTATTAATTATAGATCTAGGCTATTATTAATTATTATTAGGCTTTAGCTCTAGCGCTATAATTAAGATCTTTATTATATTATTTAATTTATCTTATTATTATAATAATCTTAATATTAAGGTTTTTATTAGGTTTATTAATTAATTTAGGTAATAATTTTTATCTTAACCTATTTATAAGGTAAAATTATTCTATCTTTAGAGGTTTTATTATAATATACTATAGCTTTAGCTAAGAATAATTATTATACCTAAATTATTCCTTAGTAAGGTATACTTAGCTATAAAGCATAATAATTTCTCTTAGTTTTAGACTAATATTATTATACCTAGTCTAAGCTATATTAAGTATTTTAGTTATTTAAAGAGCTATTTATAGTTTATTATTAGCTTATATAAACCTTATTTATTTCTTACCTTTAGGGAGTTATTATTATTATAGCTAATAATAATTTTCCTTAATATTATATTACTTTTTATAATAGATCTTCTTAATATAATTTATCTTATAATAATATTAATATTTAAGTCTATAGTAATTATACTTTCTTTATTAAGCTACTCTAAGTTTTATAGGTCTTATATTAGTTTTATAAGATATATTAGTTTATTAAGGTCGCCCTTAATAAATATTAATTTAAGGTTTTTAATAATTTTTTTTATTATTATAGGGATTTTAGAGTTTCTTCTAAGAAAATTATTAGTTATTAATCTTAATTACTTAGCTAATATAATTAATAAGGTTATTAAGCTAGTCTTCCTTATAGAGTTTAATTTATATTTTTTTCTTAAGTCTATTAAAGAAAAATAATATTAAGGGTTCTTAGTCTTAATTAAGCTTTAAGGCGAACTAGAGGTACTTAATATTATATTCTAATATAAAATAAGTTTATTAGAATACCTTAATTTCTCTTTCTACCTAGGCCTTTTTATCTATTATTTTAAAAGCTTATTAAAGCATAGCCTTAAAGGCTTTAAAGCTAGAGTAAAGGTATATAGTCCGAGGCGAGTATTTATTAAGTAGTTTAATAAGGTACTCCTTTATAATAGGTTTAAATTAGGCTATAATATATTTAGTAAGATACTTAATAATATATTAGACCTTATTAAATATTATATTAAACTATATAAGGTAATAAAGTATAAATACGCGTAATTATATAAAAAATATTAGTAATTTATATATAATATTATTAAATTTCTCTAGTTATTTTAGCTTTAGGATTTCTTTAATATCTTTATTTTTTATAATAATAATTATTATATTATTAATATTCTAGATATTCTTATAATATTATTAGTTTTAAGCTTACTAAGTAGCGGCTATATAATTAATAAGTCCTCTAAGTTCCTCTATTTTAATAGTTATAATAATAACCTAGGCATAGAGTTACTTAATTTCTTTATTATTATTATTTATCTCTTTATTATTATTAGGGTTAGCTAGAATTAATATAATAGGGGTAAATAAATAATTAATAAGTAAAACTTATTAATAATTATTATTAAAAATAGCCTAAGTAATTATTATATTTAATATTATTTAAGGTAATATAAGTAATCCTCTAAATAAGAGCTATTAATATATAATAATTATAAGATTCCTAAGGGATAAACCGGTTATATAGGTTTATATTAGTAGAAGAGAATATTATATAACCTTAAAGAGTAATATAATATTATATTTAGTAATATACTTAAGGGTATTAAGTATAACTAAGGTAGCTACTATATAAGAAAATATAATATATATATTCTATATATTATTTAGTCTTTAAGTTAAATATAGTTAAATCAAGTTAAGTTATTAGTATTTAACTTATATAGTCGAGAGAAGTTAAATTAATTTTATTTGACTTATATATCTTCCTTCCCTATGATTAGCTAATATAGTAGGGTTAGTTTCCTGCCCGGCGTTACTGCCCTCGACCATATCATGGCCATGATAAGTCGACTCTAATAATACGCTAAAGACTAGCTATTATATTAGGGATCTAGGAAGGAATAAGAGCCCTTCGACGAGAAGACGGTACTCTATAATATCGAAAGGGTTTAAAGCGCAAGACTTAAAGATCGCCTCGTTAAGCGCAAGAATTACTAGTCTAGAGGAGGAAGTCGGCCGGTTGAGCAGTGTTGGATATCACAAGTGCGAGGCGACCAAGTCGGTGGCAAGGTGTGGAAGAAGAAGGAACATTCTACAAGACATTATGCCTATACATAAACAGTTGTTCCCCTACTATACATTTAGAAGGAATTAAGCAATCTAAAATCTTCTTATTTTAATAAGCAGAGGCAAGAAGAGAAAGGCGCTACTAAATCCTAATAAGAAGTTCATGACATTAGCCGAGGCTTTAGTATCTAGTGAAGCTATTTCTAACCCAATCCAGTTAACTAAAGAGGCAGAGGCTGTTAAGGATGTGATCAAGGTGGGAGGAGTAGAAGAGGATAAGGGTTCAAATTCAGAGGCAGAAGAGTTACCTATCGCACGCACCCGCGCAGGCCATGCAGTTAAAAGACTAAGAGAATATTAAAATACATTCGATTCTAAACTAAAAAATAGGAATTAATTTATTTTTCGTTTTTTTGGTCACTCTTTGTGAGGGGGTTGAAAAATGGCAGTTTGTATGGGGAGATTTTTTTTTTGCTGTACGGTTGGTGGGTGCGTACGGCAGGTGGGTACTGCATGGTACCATGTTAGGCTTGTATCGACCGCCAAAGGTGTTTAACGTGACGTACCATACTCTCGTAGAAGTCATAACGGGCATTCTCTTGCGCAAGAAAGTTCAAGCACGTTTGCCATCCCTGTTCTACTTCCATCGCATCTGGGCAGTGCGGGTCTTATGAATGAAGGCGGAGTATGACCCCAACAATTGTAGCAGCGTACCCGAAGAAGCTCGGGATTGCTTTCATGCTTATATCTTGGAGACAACGTAATATCGAACTCAACTGCAGTGCATGATCTTTACTCTTGCGCAACGCTTCGCGAAGAAAACTGGATGGAATCTTCGCCGAGTAGAATTTGAGGTTCTGGCGGAGAAGGAACGGGTGGTGCAGGAGGCATTGGTTGAGATGATATAGCACATGCGAGTAGATGAAATGACATGCAGCTTGGCAACTCACGTTGCCGTCTGGAGCATAATCTCTTCCAAGTATCTCCGCAAGGTCGACGTTGTCGGCTTCAGAGTATGATTCGAAGTTGACCAAGATACCAGCAAGACGGCTGAATTCACTTCTTGAGTCCCAGGGCATTTGCGAGTCACTAATACTGTGCTGAAAGACCCATCGAGTTACACGTCCGAGCACTGACGCCATAAATATGGTCAAGCCAAAGTGATCGATTTGGTCCGAGAGGTGCTCATCTGGTATCTCGTTGAGGGATGCTAATGTCGGCGCATGCTACAATAGGGCGTCGCCTAGCATTCAGATAAGGCAGGTCGGCACTCATTTGCTCTAACTCAAGCAAAGATTCGACTTGCTGAGCGGCCATCCCGGACACTGATTCCAATCTTCAACAGTGGCTTTTGTCCCCGTACCCGCACAGACTTTGACAGGCCAGAGAAAAAGTCAAAATAGCCCCGTGGCTTGTTGTCCATCCTCTCCAAGGCATGTGAGATGATGCCCGCTGCCTAGAGATCCCATCCGGACTCAAGCCACCAAGCCGCTAGCATGTCACAGTGGGACCGGAGAGCTCCCGATGGTGTGGGACTGGGACCCCTGTACGCCGTAGTTAGGTAATCGAGAGACAGCATTTGCTTTTGTATTTCCAGTGGTCCAGTCCTGCAGTGCTGAAGACAGACTTACCATCGCTCCCGCTCCGTCGCTACGCTGAATGATTACGAGGCCTGCGGCTTCGACAGAAACAATGCATGCGAATCGTCCCAAGCTCTCCGTGCCTATCCATCTCTACGGCTTGCGACGCTGAGCAGCCAATGAATAATCCGAAAGCAGATCCCAGCCTCGAGCGCCTCATTCTCCCACACCAGCTGAGAATCAAAATGAGTCCACCAGATGCTCAAGGTGACCTGGGGACGAAAGTTATTATAGTCGCCATTGTCTGCCTCTTTCTTGCGACGCTCAGTGCTGCCCTGCGCCTTTACGTCCGAGTAGCTATCGTCAAGCAATTTGGGTACGATGACTGGGCTGCAGCATTGACTTGGGTATGTTTCTTGCATTAAAGCACAGAAGGAATTGTGGCTTATCCCCAATATTGTGGTCGGTGGACAGGTCTTGCTTCTTGGGTGCGGCATCACGATTGCTATAGGTTCGTATGCTTCCCTTCAGTATGCTCAAGTGATCGGCTAACCCGGCATCAGGGACGAGGTATGGCCTTGGTCGACATATCCACGTCCTTGACAAAGCAGATATTGAGACGTGGTGGAAGGTGAGAACCTCATTTTGATACATAAAGATAATATTCTAACATACAAGCTCATGGTCTGCAACATCGTCTTATATCAGCTTACTTTGTCAGCGGTCAAGGCAGCGTTCCTCCTGCAATACAGACGCTGCCTCCCACTGCCTACGCTGCAGAGGGTTTGCGACATCCTCCTTGTATTCGTGCTGCTCTGGGGGCTTACATCTATACTAACAGTTATATTCACCTGCATCCCAGCTTCTCTCGACTGGGCTAACCCACAGCCTCTCCAATGCATCAATAGGCTTGTCTTTTAGTATATCAACTCAACCATCAACATAGTCACAGACATCATCATTTATTGCCTACCTATCCCCCTGCTAAAGACACTACGCGTTGGGAAGTTACAGAAAGCGGTACTACTTAGCATTTTCTATATCGGGTTCTTATAAGTATACTCAGCCCTGATCTAGGATCTTCAACTAAATTGCGCTTCCGAGTACCTATGTCATCTCCGTCATCCGGATCTTTTCACTACGCAAGACCAAATCGATCGTGGACCAGACCTGGCACACAGCTATTCCGGCTATCTAGTCAACAGCCGAGTTATGCTGCGCTGTTGTCTGCCTATGTGTGCCGACACTGCGTCCGTTACTACGTCTACGTAGCGGATCGTCCCCGACACGGACAGGCTCATCAGAAAACGCCTTCAGGCGGAACGAAGGCTAGAGTCATATTGCTTCTTTGGGAGAGGGGCAAGAGTTGTCAGAAGCACCGGACGGACACAATTCACGCAGAAGGTCACAGGTAGACAGCTAGACTGGGGTTCCAAGCACTACGACTTCTCCTATTCCCAGTCGGGATATATGCCAATCACCCCCGATCAAATCTCGGCCACGGGTGGACTATATTGTTGCTAGTCATAATACGTCGCAGATTAGTACCGCGAGGCCTCCGCGATGACCCTGCGACTGCCCCTATGCTAACCTTAGGCTTAAGCTCAGGCCAATTATTATTGAACTTTCAAGGAGACCAAAAGTATAATAGATTTCACGAACCCAGTTTTCGCCTATGAATTGCCCTAGCTGGACGGTGGACCTTAATATAATGGTCACAGAATAGCCTAGGATTTCTTCGCGAGCTTAATCTCGATTTAAGACATATCTCTAAGCTACGCGGTAAACATATGCTGGATTCCTCTTGTCGACCGAGGGATAGTGAATAAGCCCAGGGTACGGCGGAGATGGAACAGATAGGCAAGGAGCCTTGCCAGGTTTTCCCTCTGGGACTATGGAGATCAAGGTCAACATCTATAGCAAGTCCCAAAGAATATGGTGATGAAGTAGTATTGCGGGAGCGGAAGATGATGGGTTGTTGAAAGGTCTAAGTTACATATGTCTAAGAGGAGCACAGCTCCTTACATAGTAATCCATATCCCAGCCACCAGCAGATCGGACCATCTTAGTCATTATTGTTAGATTGCGCAGGGATGCTGAGTGCACTTGATAACAGGTAGTTCTTACTATAATAATTGTAATTATTCTTAGTTAAGTTTTCATAATCTCAATGAGAGGCCCTTTGGGGCCTTATATCTTTAAATAACCCCCATCTAGGACTTTGAACCTTAGTCGTAGGACTTCAAACTTTAATCTTGATCCTGAAGTTAAGGGGGAACTCTCAGTTCTTCCAACAGTCATACGGTCTCAACATTTATTATAGTTCAAGGTAGCCAAATCAAGACCTACAACCGCCAATTTCCCCAAGTTCAGCGCCGAGACGCTATGCACTTCGCGCCACGCTGCACATTGCTCGCTAAGTGAAGAAACGACATTATAAGTTAAGCTACAGTTGCCAGTTAGGCAAATGATGTGTCCGTGATCGTCCCCGCCGAGCAGCCATAAGGCATACTGACGAGCGAGCCGAGTGTTCGTGCGCAGACGGCGGCGGCGGCGGCCTCGCCGGTAGGGTCTCTCTTCTTCGATGGCTCCAAGGAAGCGTAACAAGATGAGAACCCGGTGATGGTCGGCAATGACGTGATCTTCTATTGCCAAGCGGCGAAGAAGGTCCTCATTGTCAAGGAGGCCGTCTTTATCGATCAGGTCGGTATTTCCCTCATTTCCCTCGTCTTCAGCTGCCATTTCTGACGATAATCAGAATATGTGAATAGCTTCGTTACACCCGTTACACCCCCTCTCGCCGGGTTCAGTTGGTATCACAATTATCGGTATGATCGTCATCCCCGGTTGCCTTCACAGGCAATCCGAAGCCCGCGGAAGCTGCCGGCTGGCGCGATACATGATTGTGGCGATCATTATGCGTAAGTATGCATTTGAGACGGTCAATTCTTATATCCCCCGCTAGAATTAGTGCTAAATCAAGGAAAGCGTGTCTTAGCATTCATTTATTGAAAAAACATGAACCCGGGTTCAGTCTGACCCCCGCTCATGATCAGGGCCAAAGACCGTTCCAGCAAACTGCCCCAGCCAATCCGGGGCCACGCAACGCAAGGTGGCGTCTCGGAAAGTGGGCGAAGTTCCGAGCCAAACTACCCCTCGTCATTCTGCAGCTTCTAAGCGGCGTAAGTCAAGCCTTGCTCGGATGTGAGGACGTCCAATCGCCCTTGCGGGCTGAAAGGGATGCTAACCAGCCTGTTGCGCAAGGAAGGTCGCTGACTAGGGTTCCTTTATCCCCAGATCCTCGTAATCTCCACACCTTAGCATTAACAGTGGGGTTAGTCTAATAAAAATTGTCAGACAGTACGTATATTCGGTCCATTAACGCAAGATCAGTGTATTCGTATGGTGTTCTTATGTGTCTCTGGGGAAGTGCCTCTGCCCCTAAAGGATTTACCGTATCCACAAGCACTCTTAAGATTCTTAACCCGCACGTAATACCCCAGCATATGCCTTCTATTCAACAAAATCTCCTAAAAGCTCCACGTTTTTCTGCAACTCTTAGTTGGAACTATAAATTGCGTGGCATGCGGAATGGATTCCATTCATTCATTTATGGACTCCCCGTAACATTAAAATGATTAGTAAGCTTATAACGGCGCTTAACCTTTCTCATGAGATAAAGGAGCCGACAGAACTTAAGAATTGCCGTGCCTCGGCAATATCCCCCGCACTTGAGAAAGCGACGATTTGATTTCCCCCGCTCTGTCATTTCCGTCTTCAGCCCATAATTTAAAGGCCTTATTATATCTGAATTGGAACAGTGTTATGCACTGTGGTTATTTTTTTATATCCACAGTAGAGTCACCTCGGGAACCCTACTAACCCATTAAAACATTTAATTCGTCCTCTTAATATCGACGTCTGCCATTTTTCGGTCCCGATATCGTGAATAATTATTTCATTACATTTGCCTTCCCTTAACTTCGCTCGAAACCATGGCGCAGATTAGCTTCTTCCGCTACCTCCGCCTTAAACTCTCCGTTATTTTCATGCGACTCATCACATAGTGGCAACAACCCAAAGCGAATCTCTCTCTACCGACTGGCCTCGAGCGAAAAGCAATTCGCATTCCGTCGCGTAATTTAGGCCGCTTTATTAATAGATAGCTCTACTCTCCATCTGCTAACGGCACCCCCTCGTTGGCTACAAAGAAGCCCGTCGTTGTGAACTGGCACGGGAGCGGGTTCATGCTTCCAAGCCTAGGTAGCGACCACGACTTTTACGCTCGTATTGCAAAAGAAACTGGATTTGTCGTCTTGGATGCCGATTACCGCAAAGGGCCCGAGGTGCCGTTCCCCGGAGCCGTCCATGACGTCGAGGACACCCTAAGATAGGTAGAAAGCCGGCATCAAGAGTTCGACCTAGAACGCGTGGCTATCTCGGGATTTAGTGCCGGCGCAAACTTGGCTTTGGTGGCATCATCGTGCCTGAAAGACAGTTATCCCGCCCTCAAAATACAAGTCACCGTCGCGATATATCCTCCTGTGGACCTATCTATTGATCCCGAAGCGAAGACCGTCCCTCATCCGATACGACCAATTCCAGCAGCTGTGGCGCGTATATTCGACGCGTGCTATATCCCAGACGATTCACTGCGGTCAGATCCTCGCATTTCCCCTACATTCGCGGATCCTGCACTTTTCCCTGAGGCCGTTGTTATTTTGACCTGCAGCGGAGACACTTTGGCGCCAGAGGGAAACGCGATGGCCACGAAGCTTCAGAATGGAAAACGCCGGGTGATTAATCAGACTTTGGAGGGTGTTGGCCATGCATTTGACAAGGGTGTTCGTGAAGGCACCCATGAATGGGAACAGCGGGCACTGGCGTACTCAACATCGATAACAGCGCTCAAAGCCGGATTGGGCTCGTAGAGAGATGAGGTGATTCACTGGGAATATTGGGCAGGTCCATCAGGCGTTGTGTCGAAGTAATGCTCCTTGCCCGTTCATGAAGTGCATATCCTCTCGTAATAATCCACTCCTAGAGAAACTCCATCAGTACCAATTGCTAGATGAACTCTGAATGGCCAGAAATCACAATTGTGGTGAATTACTGTTCCAAATTGCCAGCCTGGTGCGCTCGCAAATGCCCCTCTCTCCAGTGCATGAGAAGCACCTTGCCAACTGGCTTCTTACTCGAAGGGCTTAAGGGCTGCCACGGAGCATGCCCAATCCGACTTCAGGCAAGACTAGGAGCAGCTGATCTTACAGAGTTCGGAGACAAGCTTCGTTTAAGGTCTTCGTAAGGTTAAGCTATGTAACCCTCACTTTCAAGACATATCCTGCTTAGTGGGTTCTGGAAGGCTCCTTAATCAATCCCTGGAATAAGCCTCATTTCGCCAGCTCATGCTGTAATTTCCAGACTTCCTTTGAGTAGTTACGCCGTTGCCGCGCGGTATCTTAGTAACCCAGTTTAAGTTGCCAGCGGGATACAGTTCGGGTTCGTATGTGGGATAGCGTGTGGGATTGGGTGTGGGAGGGATAGCATGTGGGATAAAGAGTGGGATAGAGCGCCCCATATAAGAACAATATTCCCATTAGGAATACGACTTAGGGTAAAGGGCCTCAAAACTATAGATGCACGGCTGATATCGATTTCTACAATGCACTATACTCGGCTTCTTTCAGCGGTTTGACGCTGTCTGCTACAGCGGCAGCTATTCCCCACTCCTTTCACCTTATTGCCAAGCCTTGTCCACCCTTTGACGGATCCTTTGCTTTGGATATCTTCCAGCTATATCCTAAGAATGCGGCTTTCAACCCAGTCGAATGCAAGCTTTATCTGAGGTGAGTGTTTCGCACCTATCCAACGTCTTAGCTAGACATTACTAAAAGTTGCATTCTGTAGCTCGCTGTATAATACTTCAGTTATGGTTTACGATCCTTACACCACCG